ATTTTGCTTGTTTATTTTGCCTTTTCACATATTTTTTACTTACATTTCACTCATTTCGTTTCTACATTTACCACATTTCATTTGTTTTGCTTGAAAAAAGAAAAATGATTGACATGGAGAAGAAAATAATCGCTGACCATTTTCTACGTTTAAGGAAAACTCTGAGACTCAAAATAGGAGGGGGTGACATATCCATAAAGTACCAAAAAAATCATCTTAGATTACTTACTAAGCATAGCTCTATAATATCGAAAATGCGTCCGCCTTTTTCCTAGGGGAACGAAAAAATGACAAAAAGGGGGACAAAAAAACAAATTATTACAAAAATATTTTTTATATGCAGGTATTCCACCACTAAGCTACCCTGGCGAAGGCTATGATTTCTTTTCTCCTTATAGTTCGTTCAACCCCCGCCTAGGCGTTTTTTCTTTAGGAAATAACCCCGAAATAAAAAGTATAAATCAAAACATCTTTTCCACAAATCATTTCTCTACATAGCTAAAAACATAGGATAATATTGAATAGCCAATAACATCCAACCAAGGATAAACAACATGAGGCTAAATCCGAACCAGATGGGAGCCAACCAATGTCCACAGTCTGTTACAGTCAAGTTTGAACCGCGTGTTGGTGTCCTCGAACCACTTGGACCACCTGCATGTTGCATACGTTTCTGACGTACAATTTTATCCAAAAATATGTTTGAAATTGAACGTTTACGGCGACGATCTTTTTTTCCTTTCGGAATAAAACAAGAGAATAGAGATGATAAAACACCTTTCTTTTGTTTTCTAACTGTAAATTTTAAAAATTAATTTATAGTGTTGAGTTTGGATCAATCCAATTGTTCTTCACTAATTATTTATATCATGATAAATAAAACACGTTCGTTAGCTAGTGTCTTATCATGTTATTCTTTGTTAGTATACTGTTAAGAAATTGCCGAATTTTCCAATGAACTTGGGTAATATTAACATTTAAACCTAATAAATCTCTTTATTAGGTAGGACTGTTCGAAATACAGCTTACCCCGAATCTTGCTTATGCCGAATTGTTAATTTTAGTTTCAGAATGTAAGATAGGACTGAGAACGTGTGGCTGATAGAGGGTGGATGATAATAAGAGATAGGATTTTGAATAAAAGATCTTACCTCGATGTACTTGTCCTCCATATTGCGGTGTACCCTGAGATGTACCGGCATGCTGATGAGTATGATGAGGTGTACCGAAATGTTGTGGTGTTCCCAGATATGGAGGCTGGCCAGCATATGATATTTCACCTAAATGCATTTATTTAAATATTAAAACTTCAAATTTGGATTGAAGTTCAAGCTTAATATTATACGAAGAACACTTAATGATAAAAGAATAATGCGTCTTCGAAAATTTGACCCTATCTGAAATGAAGTCCCAAATCAAATTTTTTCCATCTTCCTTAAAATGAGTAATTTCCTTTTACATTTCTCTCTATTTTTGATTTGTGCCGTAAGGCTATAAATGTAAAAGGATTAACTGAACGTGTGCGTTCGTGTGTTTATGACCGTGTGTGTCCGTGTTTTCTCTGTCTGTGTCCGTCTGTGCTGTCCAGTTCGTCCGTGTTTTATCTGTCCGAGTTGGTCCGTGTCCGTGGAACCAGTAAAGGTCCGGAACCGGTTTAGAACCAGTTCGGACAAACTCGGACAGACAAACACGGACGGACTCGGACTGACAAACACGGACGAACTGGACAGCACAGACGGACACAGACAGAGAAAACACGGACACGCACGGTCTTACACACGAACACACACGTTCAATTAATCATTTTGCATGCCTTACGGCACAAATCAAGAATAGAGAGAAATGTAAAGAAAATTACTCATTTTAAGGAAGATGGAAAAAATTTGATTTGGGACTTCATTTCAGATAGAGCCGAAAATTTCGTTTTCTAAACTGTCTATATTGGGATTGATATTTCAAATTATGCCGGGATCTCTATACATGAATTTCTATAAAAGAACATAAAATACATACATAAAGCTAGGACCAATGTTATTTTTAAAAGTGCAAAAAACATACCAATTTCATGTAAAGGAGAAAAAACAGGTGTTGCCACGGATGTACCAGCCTGGCCGTATGATGACTCTCCTATCGAGTTATTTACAATTATTTAAAAATGGAATTGTTCTCTCCTTACTGAGCAATCCTACATTCGAGTCTATGAATCTGATTATGTACCCCAAGGAAAGCAATAAAAAGAAGATAATTTCCCTATCTCTATGTGTAAATCATCCTAATGCTCGTTCAAGTGATCAAACGGATTCTTTTAATCCCACCCGCTCTCAGCGCTTATGGGTACATTATTCCCAATACCAAATAGCTTAGCCTATTTAACTGTATAAATTAAAATTACCTGGATATTGAGGTGCATAGGTATATGCTTAAAAATTTTTTATTTCTGTATAGTACAGTATCTATTCTAATAAAAGCAATCTGGTTCTATTTTTTAACTACCCCTTTTTATGGTCGGTGGAAATATAAATAGAGAGTAAATGTTGGTTTGTCTTTTGTCAGCAAAATCATACTTTAAATGGCACTGCATCCTGAGAAAATTAGGGGGTGGGATGAAATGGGTTTGAATTCAAGAAAGTGACAGCGAGCTTGATACCGGTATGTGATTCTTTATAAAAATACAGTAGGTTAGAAACTAACCCGGACGTTGAGGAGGCATTATTTCAGCCAAAGTATATTCAAATTCTCCTTCTTTTCGTGCCAAATAAAATGTTATCCAATCATCGTTACATGGTCTGATATATTGTCCATGTCCCATATGGCCTCCTATACCACCACGTTCACCTTGGAATGTTGATTGGCCTTAAAAAATTTTTCAAAAATTTTCATTATTTTTTCTAATCTAGGATGGAGATTTAATAAAGGAGGGGTTCTAACACTTTGATCGCTTCGTACAAGAGAATAAAGAACAAGAGAACATATCTCTTTATCGCTTACTTTGTCTTGTTACAAATTTAAGCCAATCTTCATTATCATCTCCTACACCCTATAAATTTTTAATATATCTAATTAAGGAAAGTTCAAGTAAACCTCCTCAAAGAAAATTCCGTATTGCCCATAAAAATTGCATTTCTTTTCGTAAAGTACGTTTTGAGCTATAGGCCACACAACGTGAAACAAATGAGCTAATCCTTGAATTGTATAAAGAGCCATTGCCATCCTTCCCTGCTCAGCTTTTCTCCATTTATTATCGTAATATTCTTTATTTATTTGATAACTGCCTTTTGTTCTGATAATTTATAGATAAGTATATTTAAAAAAATTTTGTTTATCATTAATTGTTCCCTGCTTCCATTCCTTCCCTAAAGTTTTTATCTTAAGTTCAGGCAAATTTTAAATTTGCCTGAAATTAAGTATTCCGCAAACACTATATTTTAAAGATTAAACAAACAATGGTTCAAATATTCCCCCTTGCATAACATTAAACTCGTTGATTGTTTTGTAAATGTTAGGTAAATGATTGTTTTGAGTATCAAGAGGCACGAACGATCCACGTGCGTCTATTAATAAACGATCATCATTAATTTCAATGTCGTCCATTTGTTTCTTGTTAAATCTGTTAACAAATATGACTACAGTTTCACTTGCAAAGTTCGCTTGTTCGCCAGTTACATTATTGTATTTTTCTGGTTTGTAGTTGTGAAGTTGATCGAAGAATTTGTTAATGACGTGCATAAATACTTCTCCATGGCTATTTGCAAAGTGAAAAATTTGTGCAAATAAAATTCCTATAGTTGCATGTTCTGTGCTTATGTTAACGAGGGTTTCATACATATTATTGTAGTATCCACGCCAATAATTGCAGAAACTTAATTGTATTAATAAATTGGAGCTTGATTTTAAATCTACTTATGGAAGAGATCAGCACTTATCAACCTTTTAAGGCCTCATCCGTTGGACAAACTTATTTTTGATGTTTGTCGATTTAACAAAACTCGGACACTCTCGATATAAATCTAATTAGAGACCTTACGATACCGTAGTAATATCGGTATTTTACGGAATTTCATTTAAGTAAAAAGATAAATAGTACTTACTTTGTATCTGCATGAGTTCTTCGTCCTCTTTCATCAGGACCAGGGCATATAAAGTTCGCCCAATTATTAAACTGTTTGAAAAATCCATTAAATTCAAAATTTCCTCCAACATATTGAGGAAGACCCTGATAGTCGATTTGATCAAAATCAGTGAAGAAACGGTGTGATTCTTTAATATAATATTAAAAATAGTTCCTAAGGTTAGGCTTCCTAGTTAATAAACCCTATTAATTCTAATCTATAAATATGGCTAGGAAATGCTCAAGACTTTTTCAAAATTTCGATCTTCTACATTCGATTTTGAAATAATTATGGATTCGTAACAGCTATATTTAGCTAGAGTCAAGATTCGATCAGTTTACGAAATTTAGTTTCCACAGATAGTAAATAACCTATACAGATTCTCTCGTTCCCGTCCTTTCTCAATTTACAGTAAAATCAAGCACAGAATCAATCATTAAATCAAGGTTGCGGTGCCTGGCTCAAAGGCAATGCGTCAGTGGAAAATGTGAGAGATCTTCTTATACCCCCTACTTTAAACAGAAATAATCTAATTTATAAAATTTTACCAAGTTCAAAGCTTCGCTTAAAAACATTTCTGTAAAATTGGCCAATTGAAGATTTACTTATAAGGAATTTGTTTATGGCATCTGTCCGAATCCCTGTATATTCAAAACGATTTTCGATCCTTTTCACATTAAATGAAAGCATTGTCGCCCAACGAAGATTGTCTTCGACTTGCTTTATCTCAAAATCTTTGGTTAGATTTTTATCATTGATTGCTATTACACTGTAAATTGTATTGAAATTTAATTTGCTTGCTCAAAATTTGATATTCACCCTAGTCCAATCTCTCCTAGTCCAATCTCTAGTTTTGCAACTAAGAATCCCTTTTCTAAAAATTATTTATTCTTACCTGCATCCTGCTAGATAAAGCAAGTAATGCATAACTAAAGGTTCATCTAAGGACAATTTTTGAAGCATTTCCTTGCTATTCAATCCACGAAGAAGATTAAACCATGCTGGACCACACGAATCTTTCCATACTTTATTCCCACTTCGAGTTGCTTTTAAGTTCTCGAATTTCATTATATTTAACCAATCTTTGTTATAACTAATTTGGCTAATGTCCTTTACAAAAACATTAAAATATAATGATATATGTACAGGGTGACCCAAAAGAAACCGGGCACGCTATTTTTGGCATAACTTTGTTCAAATTAAAGATGAGAGAATCGCATTCCCCACAAAACTGATTTACATATACTCAGAGCCATCCATGTAGGAGTTGGTGTTTTCATCTTTCAGATTTGTCCGGTTCGCTAATGATCTTAATTAAATTCTGTTGAGATCATCCCGTTTGGACTTCTCCTTTCTGAGATACAGAAAATAAAATTTTGGGGGGAAAATTTTGATATGGTGTACCTAAAATTACGTAACTTTCTTAATCCTTAATCAAAAAATCTTTAATTTTACTATATGATAGTGAAATAAATGTGCTACAAAATATGCTTGGAATTACTTAAAAATTATATGAACAAAGAAAGTTATAAAGGATAGAAAAGTGCCCGGTTTCTTTTGGGTCACCCTGTATAATAACGCAAAAAATATTATTCACCTCTACTATTAGAAACCCATAGCTAATGCCGTATTTACATCAAAAGCGTCTTGCTTTTTGCGCAAAAAAATAGCATTTAAAAGAAGGAGACAAAATCGCATCTCATCATTCTCAATGCTATTTTTGCCGCAAAACGCAAGACGCTTTCAATGTGATTACATAAACACGGCATAAAATTAAGTTACTTTTCTATTATAGATAACACAGTAATTTAATTCATCTTTATTTGCCTTGAACATTTTTTATTATTTTGAGAAAGGAGAAACAATGAGAGAAAATGTAGAGCGGTTACCGAAATTTTAGAGGTTCTACTTCACTTTATGAGTCCAATCACATTTTATTAAACTCTGAACAGAATTATGATTAATTTAAGCTGCCATGGAATGACTGGTTTTGTGCGGATATTTAGGGGGTAGATCGGCATTTCAACGCTTAAAATCAACAATAATCACTTACAGTATATTGAAATTCGTAATTCCACTTTTCTGTTCCGACATAAAAGCGATATTTGACAAAAGCTTGAACATCATTATCTTTAAAGTATCTTTCGAATTCAGTATCTCTACCACGGAGCACTTTCATTAATTGGCGAATGAGACGCAATTCCTTAAATTTCAATTAAATAGATTTCGTTAATCGTTATGTTCGTTTCTGGCATTTTTCCTTCCTCAAAACACGTAAAGTTAACCTATAACTTTATCAGTCAGTTCTCTCATTTAATGAGTCAAGGAGTGACTGGTGAATGCGGTAATCTATTTTTTAGCTCCATATTTCGCAGTCTTGCCTAATAAATTTCAATCAAACAAACAACTAGGTTTGAGTCAAGTCAGCTCCTTCTGAATTTTAAAACTTTTCATCCCCGTACCAAATTTTATATTCTTCACATCCCTAAAGACGAGTTTAGATAAGATATTGGATATCATAGGGAAGAGTGAATTTTAAAACAAAAAAATTCTGACCATTATGCGCCTTTTAAAGGAAAAAAGCGGAAACGAACATATCTATTACTAAATATCCAAAAAGATTTTAAAACCTCAATTTTTTGCGTAGAAGCTAGTATTAAGATTAGAAATCTAACACTATCTTTTATTCTTACAGCCCGAAAAGTTGGATCGCCCAACATCCTCGACAATTCATTTGCAAAAAATAAAGGCTTTGTAAGCATGAAAGCATAAAGGAATTCACGTGCGCGATGTTCCTTTTGGAAATCATCTTAATAAGAAAAATTGTAATAAATATTGTTTTTGTTGACTCCACCAAGGGGTAGTCGGAAAAGTCTGAAGTTTTCCCGACCTAATTAATGGAGGGAGATGTTAGCTAAGGAGAGAGATGTTAGCTGTAAATGCATATTTTTTATTCTTTTAATTTGATCCGAGCACTTTAAGGTCCGGTTCTTAATTCATAAAATTGCATATTTCGTCCTGTCGTGCTTCCTAATTCAGCCAAATTGCAGGTCGATATGAGGCAATTCTTAACTATTGTTTTCATTTTTGTGTTTTTGGAGAGTGAAACCGGGTAGGATTTAAGAAAATCAACTGCCATCCGTTACAACCTGTTATATTGTATGCATCAAATTTGAATTTGATTGTTGCTTCATATATTTTATCAACACAGTTTATATAATCACCAGCATATGTCAATATCTCCATATTAACATTAAAATGGAATATATTGGGGGTAAATGACTGATCAGCAACAACCTTTAAAATAGTAACATTAAATTTTGACCTTCAACAACCTTGAAAGACTTCAATTTAAATTAAAAATAGGCAAACTTAAAGACGTTCCAATTATGTGAATGGCGAAATTTCGAGAATTTTGGGAGGCCAAGAAGCTAGAATTCTTCCTTTTCCAATTATGAGGGTCTGAATTCTTCCATTTTGGAAATAAAGTAAGGAATCCTAAAAAGTTCAATTCTCATGGGTGCAAGTTATGGGGGTACCGAAAAAATCCCAAGAAAAGTCTTGGAATCAAGAAAAAGAGTCCCGAACAGCTCTACTAGTCTCAATGCGCCCGCTACAAGGAGTTGTTGCTCTTATTTATTAACCAACAGTATTTAAATTAATCATCTTACATATCCTTTTTCAATACAATAGTCAAGAATCCCTCCAAATCGAAAATGATCGTTGTAGAGTGAAAGGCCGTTGAAAAGGTGTTGAAGAGCATCGTCAAGGTTTGGGCTATTTGGATGGATATCTTGTAAGCTAGCTTCCAAAAATTGCTTGACTTGAGTTCGCATTGCTTTGTTGAAGCTGGGAGGTCCTTCACTTGAGGACAGTTTGAAAAATATGAGGAAAAAGAAAATTAAGGGGAGGGTGTATTGGAGGGTGTTTGCGGAGGAATGGCAAGATTTTTTTCTCATCTCTGAAATTTTTTATTGCATTTAAGACAGATTTAATAAATATTTTATAAATTAAATGAATTTGCTAAAGCTGAACAAGACTAGCTAACTATTTTACCTTTTGGATCCTCAAAAGTTTATTTAGATGTTTAAGCAAACCAGCATCTTCAGTTGACGGGCTTAGTATACAGTGCGGTATTCGGATCAAGATATTTGGATCCGAAAATCTCGCATAACCTATAATTTTCGGATTGACTATCTTTCTGAATATCCGGGGGTTGCCAAAATCCGCCAAACCTAGACAGAACTAATGTGTTATATATATATTACACTAGGCACCTTCAGCATAGACTTAGTAATTAAATAGCTATGATACTAATAAATAAAATAAAAATTAATTGATAATAATTTAACAGAATTTTAAGTTTATAAATTATAGATATTGTAAGGCCTTTAAAGTTTGCCATTGACGTTTACACCCGCAGTACCATTACCCTTAAATCTGGAAGTTATTGTAAGGCTGTTAAAGTTTCATCCTTGGCATGCAGATGTAAAAAAAATGAAGCATAGGAGAGCTTTAATTAGAGTGCTTGCATAGGTTATCTTTCAGGAGAGCTACATTAAATACAGTGTACATACATTGACATCCATAATGCCTTGTGTTAGGAATTAATAAAGTTTTACGTTATTTGGAAAAACTTGCCGAAAAATGTCTAAAGAATTTTAATTTTAAAGTTAAATGAAATTATTAAATTTAAAATTGACTTAAATAAACATTAATGAAAGGAGGTTTAATAATTCTTAGAGGGGGAGATAATATTAAGCTTTTTTCTCACTTATTGGATTTAACCTTTAATTAAATTAGAGAGGAAGAAGGCAAGAGGAAGAAGGCAAGAATTAGAGAGGAAGAAGTCTCGTGAATCTATTTATTGGCTTTTAATGGCTTGTAATTAGAGATAGGTCTAGTCAACTAAAAGATCGAAAATTCGAATTCTAAATTCGAAACTTGGGCAATCCCGGAGAATTGGGGTCCCTGCGGAAAAAAATCTTAAAAATAAGAAAAAGGATTTTTCTAGGGTAAAAAAGTATGCTGATTACGAATCTGAACTCAGATTTTGAAAAAGTCGAATCCCGAACCCGAATTCGGACTTTTGCCCCAGAACAGGATTTTTGGCCCTAAACATTGTCGGACATTGTACAAAATGGCTAGTCTTTCAAAAGAATCTAGAACTCATCGAGCTAAGTCGAATGACACCAAAATCAATGAAATCCGACCGGATTGAACCGAGATACAGACCCCTAAATATTGAAAAACCACAGGGGTGATCTTTTGGAGTAAAAAAAAGTTTATACAAATGATAGCTCATTCGAAAGAGTTCGTCGTGCTGAGTCGAATGACACCAAAATTACAATGATTGATCAAGTTTAGACAAAATTATGACATATGTTGCCGACTCTTACAGTACTCCCAGAGGTTTACTTTATGTCATAACTTTGTCGAAGCAGGTCCGATCGCGTTGGTTTTGGTGTCATTCGATGCAGCTCGACGAGCTCTTTCGAATGAGCTATCATTTGCATATTCGAAATTCGGGCTCAGGGTTCGAAATTTGGTTCGGGTTCGGGATTCGACTTTTTCAAAATCTGAGTTCAGATTCGTAATCAGCATACTTTTTTACCCTAGAAAAATCCTTTTTCTTATTTTTAAGATTTTTTTTCCGCAGGGACCCCAATTCTCCGGGATTGCCGAAACTTGCTCTCTATCCTTATCGAAATCGAATTATTCAATGAAAACAAAATTCATTTAAAATTTACCAGAGGTGGGTCGGAATTCTGATTTCCGAAAAAAATTTTTTTTGATTTCCGAGTTCTGACTTTAGAGACAGTTTAGATTTTCGGCTCTTCCGATTTCCGACACTTCTGACTGTTCAGACGTCCTCTGAAATTTACAGCCACCAAGGAGCAATTTGACAAATATGTTGCGTCGTTTTCCAAGAAAATTCCTCTCCTATGCGAGAAAATATTAAGAGAAAATATCTAGTAAATTTCACTCATGTGAAATTTAGATGCATTTAACTTAATATAATTAACACTAGTAAACTTCTAGTTTTGATAGCCAAGCCGGTTGATTCT